AAGCTTCATCCTGAAGGTGGGGGATGGGCCCCCTACGTGGGGGGTGTCCTGGGGTAGGAGGTGTCCTGGGCTGAGGGAGGTTCATCCTCAAGGTGGGGGAGGGGCCCCCTAGGTGGGGGGTGTCCTGGGGTAGGAGGTGTCCTGGGCTGAGGGAGCTTCATCCTCAAGGTGGGAGAGGGGCCTCCTAGGTGGGGGGTGTCCTGGGGTAGGCGGTGTCCTGGGCTGAGGGAGCTTCATTCTCAAGGTGGGGGAGGAGCCCCCAAGGTGGGGGAGGGGCCTCGGTGTGGCCCCATGGCTGACTGCTCCTGGCCCTGCAGACTTGCCCACGGGGACATGCTCCGCCTGGACACCCTGGCCAGCTCTGCACGGCTCACAGAGAACCGAGAAACCCGTCCAGGGGCTGTAAGTCCAAGAGGCAAGGCTGTCTCCTTCATGTTGGGCACAGGGTCCGCGTTCGGGGACAGCCTGTCCAGAATCTGCCGGCCCATCTCTGCATTGTCAGCCTCACGGGTTTTTCCAACCACCTCTCAAAGATCGAGCTTGAGGGTGGCCGCAGTCCCCGAGTTGGGCTGGCTGTTCAGGGACGCTGGTCAGATGGGGTCCTGCCTGGGTCTGGGAGGTGGAGGGGCTGCACCACCGGTGGCCAGATGTGCAGAGACCGTGCTGTCCTGGTGGAATGTGCTTCAGGGGCAGCGAGGGGGCACTTCCCACCTCCCCTGACGGCCCAGGACTGCCTGTGGCTCAAGAGGGGACGTGACGGAGTGTCAGAGATGCCACTGGGTGCTCACGTCCTGGGGCTGAGCCTACTCCATCTGTCTCCACCAGTCTCATCTCCTTCTCCATCTGTCTCCGCGTCCTCCTCCATGAGACTCTATCTCCTCCTCTGTCTCCATCTCCTCCTCCATCAGACTCCATGTCCTCCTCCATGAGACTCCATCTCCTCCGTCTCCATCTCCTCCTCCATCAGACTCCCATCTCCTCCTCCATGAGACTCCATCTCCTCCTCCGTCTCCATCTCCTCCTCCATCAGAC